AATAGTTGGGCTTTTGCAAAAGAGAAAAAGATTCACTAGTAAGTTCATGTAAAATATGGAAAAAAAATCACATTTCTTATGTAGAGCTTAAGACCACGAAAATACAAGTCTTTAAAAATAGTGTAGTGACCTTAATCATAAATTTTGCAATGCAGTAAAGCTAGAGACTTGTAAAGCTTAAATTAAATTGATTGTGCTTCTCCTCATAGTGAAATACTCCCTCCGTCCCCCTGTATTTGTCCACTTTCATTTTTACACACCATCCAATGCACTTCTTTAATTCATTTTATCTTGTAATTTGTATATTAAAAAATTATAAAAATTATATATTAATAATTTATATGTTAAGACAAATCAAACAAGATCGTACATGACTATATTTAGACTTACACATTGAGAGAATTTGATGAGTCAGAGTGCTTAGATGAACAGTTCCAAAAGTCAAATGTGGACAAATACAAGGGGACGGAGGGAGTAGCAGTTAATCAATGCAACTTTTGACGCTCATCATCAGTCATCCAAAGCAATTGATCTATGTTTTAAAAATAAGGTCAGGCTTCGTACGTGATTACCTATTGTGCTTGAGCTGGGACTTGGGGGTTTGGAAATTTCGAACAGGGGTAAGGTTTGCTTATACCCACCCTCTCTAGAGCCTACTTTTGTAAGAATCAACTCGATTGTTGTTGCTTTCCATAATAGACATAAAAGCGTATTTATAGTAAATTTTACAGCCAGATACCCAACCATCAAATCAAGAATTGAAAAGAGTGCATACCAATCGAACAAGGCAAAGGTAGAAGAAACTTGCATGGAAAGAGAATGGGCTAATATGAACAGTTCGTCACTAGACAAGCTCAATATAAGCCATTGGAGCATTATCCCCCCGCCGAGGTAGAGTTCTTATTATCCTAGTGTATCCGCCATTTCTGTCCCCATATCTCTCTTGAACCTCGGCAAATAAGGCGTGCACAATCTGTTTCTCGTAGATGAAGCCAAGGGCTTGCCTTCGTTTGTGAAGCGTGCCTTCCTTTGCCAAAGTAATCATATGGTCAACATACTTTCTCATAGCTTTGGCTCTCGCTCTTGTTGTCATAATGCGCCCATGTTTGAGAAGCTGAGTTGTGAGGCCCCGCAAGAGTGCTCGTCGCTGGTCAGGAGGTCTGTTCAGTTTTGGAACCCTCCTGCCATGTCTCATGGCAAACACTCGGCATCTGTTCCCAGTCGAAGTTAACGAGTGCTCAAAACTTGACAAATCTGCAAGACATGATGAATCTGCCAAGAGCTAACCATTAGTTGGACATGGATCTTTAACAAATTAATCTCTAACTAAAATACACATTTATCACAGATTATTGATTGAAACTAAATGTTCTTCAATATAATGCCAATTGTCCCTATTGCTTCATGGCAAAAGTTTTTAGATATCTTCACACTACTAAATGAGCTAATGTGTGTCTGGGCTTTACATAAAGCCATGTCATAACATAAGCATATATTCCTGCTGCACCAAAGGAGTAACTAAGCTATTTATGGAAAAATATTCCTCTTAAAATCATTCAATATAATGAATCATTGAATTCTGATAAAGAGATTAGTCAAATATTTTTTTGCAACATATCTACACTCTATTATGTTCAAGTAGTGCAAAACCATGGTTTAAAAAAAGTATGTTTCTTGCGCTGTAAGAACTTATAGTTTCCTGTTCTCTTTACAAATCAAATTCTGATTTGATAATAAATTTTCCTATCATAAGAATTCCTTGACACTCTGGATGTCTTTCCATAGTCAAGTCCATTCTCTATAATTCATCTTTTGTGGTTGGTCAAGAGATGATTACATTTCTGAAAAAAATAATTCAACCACAGATTCTCTTAGCAAGATCTTGAGGGCAACATTGCTTAAACACTAAATAGCCCGTATCAGTTGCATTAAAATAGATTCTACCGTTTCTACGACAGTGGTACAAGTAAAAAATGGTGTCTAAGTCCCAATTTTATTTTAAAGATAATAATATTCATGTGGAAAACCAAATTGCTTAACACTATGTTTGGTTCAAAGAATTTGAGACGGAAAGGAAAAGAAAATGAGAAGGAAAACATCTTTCTTGTTTGGTTAGAGAGGAAAAGAAAAGAAAAGTGGAAGGAAAAGAAAAAGAGAAGGCAAAATGTACTAAGAGGAAGGAAAACCAAATTCCTCTCATTTTGGTGAGGAAAATGAGGGAAAACCATTTTCTTTTCTTTCCCTACCAAATTCCTTGAACCAAACGTAGTGTAAAGGAAAAACCAACAAAAGTATTATAAACCAATCGGTGGTCGGAATCTTGGAATAACACATAGTACTGACTACACGTGAACTATAAACCCTGTAATATTACAAGCAAGAAACCAAACCAAGCTTATTCAACCGAATAGGCAAGAAAATACGAGCACAAATGAAAATAGACAAATCAAAGACTGCAACAAAAAAAGCAATCAATGCAAGGTACTCCATAATAGAAGAAAGTTGTCTCAGCGCACAAATGTGGAATTGTATAGTTCAAAGATTCACTGGTAATTAAAATTGCAGTTTCTAATATCTTATATCTGCCAATGGTCACATCATAAAAAGTAATTAACGTACTTCATTTTTAATTGCCGAGAAAGAATTTAGTAATTACAAGGAAAAAGTTAGTGTGACTTTACATATTCATTCATTATCCATAACATTTATACTGCCCCCATCTGGATATTGTGGTCCACTTTATATGTTTTGTTTGTCTTAAATTAGCTGACCAATTGGATTGACTATTTGATCAATGTTATCATAATAATCATTAAACAAGTTTGGCAGTGCGAGTGCACGCTTCGTTGAGTTTGTTATGATAAAAGCCTCATTTTGCCCCAAATTGATCAACGGGGATTCCACGGGGCAGCGCCCCGCGTCTATAAAACTTGATCGCAAGATTGGTCGTGAGATATAGGTTCAAAATTATCACAATATTCTTCATACTTTGTTCTTCGAATCTCTGAGTTGTATGTGACTTAAAGATTAATGTGAACCACCGAATAGTTTCAATATGAAAGTGACTACACGCCATGAAAGTGACTACACGCATTTCAGAGAATCCAAGTACTGACTCCTGATTTCTAACAATTTCCGTATCTGATAAAGAAAATCATTTCAAGGACTAATATTATATTTTACACTCATTTCTTAAAAACGAGCTAGTTTAAAAAGTGGACAACTGATTCCAGACGGGGGTGTACATTTATAAGCATTACCAGGCATAATATACGAAAACTATCAGGCTTAATTAGTTCTTATCATGTACCCATGGGCAGTCTATAGAAAACCCCAATAACATTTCCCTCTTTATAACTTCATTGTGTGTTTTAGAAAAAGTTACAAGCAATGGAATTTAACTTTATTCTCCCTGCATTACATTAACACTATGTTTGGTTCAAGGAATTTGGAAGGAATAGAAAAGAACATGGTTTTCTCTCATTTACCTCACCAAAATGGGAAGAATTTAATTTTTCCTCCACTTGGTACATTTTTCTTTTCCTTCCACTTTTCCTTTCTTTTCCCCTGTAACCAAACAAGAAAAACTATTTTCCGCTTCACTTTCTTTCCTTTTTCCCTTTCAAATTCCTTGAACCAAACATAGTGTAAAAAGGTTCCACATTTGAACCAACATCTTTTGTAAGAAAATTGAAATTGTATGGTTTACATTCGTGTAAAGGAGAAAAACAATACTGCATAAAATACACAATTATTTCTTAAGGATATTTTTAGTAAAGCACAAAACTCCTGACTGCTCTTTCCCCTCTAACACCAATCCACTTCGACATTGGGCAATTGCTTCAAACAATAGAAAGAAATTAAAAATAGTCCGTAATGCAAATTTTTCCAAATCCACAATAGTTTTCTCAGGGAAAATAGAAAACATTTTAACAAAAAACAAACAGAACTTTTAGAGTAATTAAGGACCACAGAAACGATAAAATACCCAGTTTAACTGTACAGGAAACACTCAATAAGTTATGTAATACGTGTATCTGAGAAAGATGAGAATTTACCCTGAGAAAGAAGAGACGGAAGCGAATGAAAAGGAGCAAACCCCATGAAGGAGTGTGGAATTCTTGGTTGGGGCTTCGGTCGGTAAAGCTTCAGTCGATATGGAGAAAACCGAGCAGGGAAGCGAATTGAAGATGCCGAAGGCGCATCGATACGAGGAAGAGTTGATCTCAGAGAAGCCATACTCCATGCTGAGGATACTGAATTGATCGCGCATACCGCCATTTTCAGTTGGAATTCTCCCTCCCCACTCTCTCTCAGGGATGGAGGAGTGTGTGGGTTAACTAGTAAGAAAAAGCTCAAGTGCTGAATACATGGATAATTGACAATTACCCCCCAATTTTTGAGTGTCTTTCTCTTTCGCCTACTATCTAGATTCTAGACTAGCTGCACTTTTTAAGCTTGTATTCCAGGGGCTTCAAATCAAGACTTCAAACCTTTTTTTATCATATCAGTTTTAACATACATCATAGTCTTAGGCTATGTTCCATTCGTCTGATTTGATCTGATATGATTTGATCTAATTTTTTGAAAATCTGATCTAGTCTGATCTGATCTGGTCTAATCTGATCTGATTGCACTTATAATTAAAGTTGTTTCTGATCTGATTCGGTCTGATCTAATCTGATTATAATAAGAATAAGTAATAAGCAGAAAAAATAAGTTGCACGCAACGCTACCTTACTAGAAATAGGTTTAAAGTCCTAGGGCTTCGAACATTTTTTTTAATTTTTTAATACACATTTTGTAAAGTTTAAATTAATAAGATTTCATTAAATAATTGGATTTAAACGAAAATGGTTTATTAAATAAAAAAGTACATTAAAAAACTATTTTAAATTTAAAAAAACTACATTAATAAAAAAATTAAAGCAAATTATATTTAGTCTTGATCTCGTTTTGTCTTCTCTCGAAATACATACGTTTAAAGCACATTAACATATCAAGGCCGATTTCCATTATTGCTAGCTCCTCTTTCTCTTACATTCATTTCTTCCTCTCTTCTTCCCTAACATTGAACACCCAAAGTTGTTCAGCCACTGCCCTGCCGATATCGTCGTGAGAAGAAATAGAGTCAAACCCCTACAGAACCCAAGACAATCGATTTTGCCTTCTTTCTTTTGATCAGCAGTGGAATGAGGTCCTCATCATCGGAGTCGTCTAGGTTGAAGGGAGGGCTTTGTTCTGACGAGCCGATAATGCCATCAGCCTCAATCTCGGCGGAGGATCTATTTTTGACAATCCGGCCTCGAGGTTGTTGAGTTTTTTCCATTTCAGTGAATAGCTTAAAATTCTCCAAAGATAAAGATTTGGACTTTTTGGTTAATGTGGCCCTATTTGGAAGTGAGTTGATCTCAGATTTGGTAGGAGGCTTCCTTATTCATCACTGTATAGAACTTCTCCTTAATGCGATCCACATCGCATCCTTCATTTGCTCAAAACCTTTAAGAAATATATAATTAGAAGAAAAAAAATATTTTAACACAAATATATAAAAAAGAATATATATAAAAAAACATATAAATTTTACCAGTAATAGGATGCCAAGGAGGTCAACCCAAGTAGACGCCAACAGCGATTCTTCCTCTGTTGTCCACTTTTGAATGGACCGTACAATGATTCTTCCTCTATTGTCCAACAACAATTCTTCCTCGGTCTTTGTTTGGGACTCTTCCGACGTGCACTTTTTTTGGTGCACTTGATTCCGCTTGAGTCTCTAGAATGGACTGTTGGGACCATAATTGCATACTTTTTTAGCCCTAAATTCTATGCATTTTAGCCATTTCTTATGGTTTAATTCTGATAATTAAGGACAAAATTGCTCAAATTGTGTTTTTGAATACATTGAATATTTTGATAGTAAAAACTTCATCACTTTATACATTTTAATTTGTTGATATAAATTCATGGACTAATTAGCAAGGTATACCATATTAGAAGGAGAATAAAATGTATGCATTTATGGTACCAACAGTCGGTTCTGGAGACCCAACACTTGGTTCTTGAGCAAAGATGATTGTTGTTTATTTTGAGATCATTTTGATGAACAGGTTGATGTTCATCAACCTGACTATGACTAGGAAGATCCTAGAGACCCAACTGTTACATAGGTTTGTCTCTAGGGTCGCATTGACCATTTATTTTAGGTTGTTTTCTTCGGTGTCTCGCCGGTGGGAAGTTGAGGAAAAGCCAATCCCTTACCAATCAAAGATTAATATTGCACCTTGTCACTTATAAATTAGGGGCTGGTCTCTAGCTTGTAAGTTATAGGGTAGAGTCTTAGTTAATACTGGGTTAACAAAAGCTAATTACTTTAAAGAGTGGCGGGGGGAATTAGTTAGCTCTTTGGTGCCAAATTCCCACAACCTTGATCCTTGTTTTGTTCTTACAAGTTTGAGAATTAATGATTTGGTAAAGGATAGTTACATAAGTTCAACATCAACCAAGTTCCTTCTTCAACAAAGAAACAACTCATTTCTCCTTTTTCATTACCTGTTTAATTAAATTTCATACAACGGGAACTTTTAGTTACTTATATTTACTCCTTACTTTTAATCTGTTTTGTTACATACTCTTCAAATACCAAAACCCCTCCTATGTGAGTGTGTGTGAAAGGTTTAAATACTTTTTATACAATTTGTAGTTCAAGATCTAAAAAAAGTGTTTTCTATAAACTTTCCATGAGGATTCGACCCCTTTTGCTTGCTACTATACTACCTTTTATTTGAAATTAGTGGGCTGAAGGGATTTAAATTTGTACACTCTAACAAGGTGTTAACAAATTTTTGGCACCCGAGAAAGGCTTGAAAACACTATCTCAAAACAAAAAATATGTACATCCTATCTACCTTAAGTCCTGATTTACCATACAGATCATATACAAATATATAGTAAACACATACTCATACTTGATCTACTGTACTTAAAGTGGTATGGTATACAAGTTGTCTACTGGTCTATACTAGGTTCTGTGATACACTTACTGACTCTTTAAGTCTTTTAGGTATACATACAAGTGTTTCTTTAAACTTTATGATGTTAAGAAATGGTAAGGTGATCCAAAGAGCTGATACATGTAAGAAAATTGGAAGTGTAGCTCAGGTAATTGTGGCTGGACCTTTATCTAATATTTCTAAAAAGTCAGTCTGGGTCTGAAATTGCATCTGTGTCTAAATCTGCTGAAATAGTTGGTTGTGATTTTGAAAATATTTCTGTTCAAAACATTTTCAAAATGGAAACCTTACGAGAGTTGGTTGCACCCCGATCTAACTACACACCAATGCCCATCATTTATGAGGCACTAGAGATACTATTTTAAAATTAAACTCTTGGTTCCTCAACTTCTTGCCCAAATACCATGGTTTACCTGGTGTGGACCCATATAGGCATATAAGTAAGTGAATTCTTAATCACATGTGGGGAAATGGAACCTGAGGGTATCCCTTAGGAGGCTATTAAGCTGAGAACTTCTTCTTTTTCCTTGCTAGACAAGGCAAAGGAATGGTTATATTACATGCCACCAGGTTCCTTTACCACTTGGGCCTCACTATATAAGGCCTTCTTAGAAGAGTTTTTTCTTGCCACTAGAATAGGCTCCACAAGAAAGCAAATCTGTGGTATTCAACAATAATTTGGAGAAACCTTTTTTGAGTATTGGAAGAGATTTACTAAATTGTGTTCTAGTTACCCAAAACATCACATTTCTAAACAACTCCTTATTGAAATTTTTTAACAAGGATTGAATACTCCTGAGAGGAATAGGATAGATGCTCTTAGTGGTGGGGCACTAGTTAAAAAAAAAAACCCTTGAATAGGCTAAGTCTCTTTTTAATCTAATGTCTCAAAATACCCAACAATTTGGGGCTAGGGAATTTGAAGTAAGGGAAATGAAGCTCTAGTTGAATCAGTTTAAAAATTGACAAAAATGTTTGCTCAATTTATTACATCTCAAGCAGTAGGGAAATAAATCTCTTGTGAAGTGTGTTGTTTGGAGGGTCATTCAACTGATAATTATCCAACCCTTTTAACTGTGAGGCTAAGCCCGTGTTTTTCAACAATAATAATCAAATGAAATATGACCCTTATGTTTGGTACCACGCATGGATAGCACAGCGAATTTTTTTTTGTATCTAATTGTCGTTACCACTCAAGATCGTCTTACGAAAACTATAAATTAATGTTAAGAAAAATACCTTTTCTCGTAGTAAACTGATTGGGCGGTGCAAGTGAAGGGATTGGTGCAATGAACTAGTCACAAACGAATCCAACCTCTAGCGCGTCCACACGAACAACAAACGATGTCCTATGTAGAATTTATGCTAGCAAATTCTTTCTAGAATATTACTATAATATAGAAATATAAATTGGTATGATGAAGAAAAATATCAAGTATATTTTCCTTGAATTTTTCGGCGAAAGAAGAGATCAAAAAAACCTAAGTGGCGTGTAGCTTTGTGTGTTTTATTTTAATTATCTAATCTTATTAGATAACTATTAGGGAATTAAGGATAGAGTCAAACTCTTTTTCTTCTTTTATTCTTTTTAATTTTCGCCCCCCATAAAATATAATAATTTATTTTGTTAACTTTAATATTAAATACATATTTAACAACCGGTATATATATATATATATATATATATATATATATATATATATATATATATATATATATATATATATATATATATATATATATATATATATATATAGGATTGACTCCAGTGAGATGACACCTTACGGTGAGATGACATGATTCGGTCAGATGACACAAAGCTCAACACTGGTCACTGCAAAGCTCCCCAAAGACAACTACAAAGCTCACCAAAGTGTAAGGCAAAGCTCGCCATTTTTTTTCAACACTTTGAATTTTTTTCCAAAAAATAAAAGCAAATGAAGGGGTGCTGACTGGACTTTGACAATTGACCGCCAGCATTGACCGCCGCCTGCCACAGGCCGCCGGCCGCCGCCACCCCTGGTCGCCGCCGCCGCCGGTCGCCGGTCGCCGCTGCCGCCGTCGCCCCGGTCGCCGCCGTCTCCAGTCGCCGGACTCCGGCCGTCGCTGCTGCTCCGCCGCCCTTGACTGGTGGTTGACCGGTGTTGTTATTTTATTTTTAATTAATTTTTTAATTTTTAAAATTAAAAAAAAGGTGAGTTTTGGGGTTCAAAGTGGTGAGCTTTGCTTTATTTCCAGGTGAGCTTTGCATTGTCTATTGGTGAGCTTTGTAGTGTAGTGTGGTGAGCTTTGCGTCATTTGACCGAAGCATGTCATCTCATTGTAAGGTGTCATCTCACTGGAGTCAATCCCTATATATATATATATATATATATATATATATATATATATACATATATATATATATATATATATTTATATTTATATTTATATATTTTATTTCTCACATAATATTTGACAAACATTCACATAATTAAAATGTCAACATGTTATTTAATTTGTACGTCACATGTCCCATATTACTTTTACATTATTCCATTTAATTTTTACTCCGTTCAATTGTTCTACGTGTGTGACCCTTCTATGTATTCATAATGATGGCAATAGTATTAATCACAATTAATACTACAAATGATAAGCGGTATCTAGCAACACATTATCACTACCCATGTTATAAACATAAAGTTCATTGCAATAATACCTCCAATGACACATTACATTTGTATAACTATTATCCATTTAACCCTAATGTCTATATTTAACACAAGGTATGGGAAGTATAACATTTTTAGAGTTAAATCATTGGTTTACTGATTCTTAGATTGACTTGCATGCGGAATTCGAATAACAATAATATCATATAAATTAATTTATCAGGGTATGGCCATACACTTCCCATCCAAGTTATATCAATCATTGGGCCTGAAGACATTACACTTCATCACAATGGAAGGGATAAATTCTTTCTATGTCATTCATGCCTTTACGTCCAACAGTATTTCACATGGCATTAGATATGAATCAAAGCATATAGGTCAACATATTAAAGATCATAATGACCTCAAGTATAAGGATAGTTATACCAATGGTTGAATGAGAATACTACTAACACATTTAAATAATACCCATATAGTATTCTCATGGTCGGTAAGTCCAGTACCATATCCTAGATATGTACCTACGTATAGATTAAGATATCTCAATATCCATAACCTATGAGACGCAACTATCTTGTCTCATACGTATCAGTCTTAGTATATTATGACATTTGTATTATCATAATATTCGACTAAGGACATTTTAGACATAGCCACTATTAATGTAATAGCCTCATAATTAGAACATCGTAGATCTAATCTATGTTACCAGAGCGCAAAATCTATGGATTTAAGGCATGTTTAGGTACACGAGATGTATAAAAAAGCTTTAGGGCATTTTATTCTTCATAAATATTCAGATACTCTCATACATTGGCCTCTAGGGCTCATATATCCAACAATCTCCCACTAGAACTAAGGCCAATTATGCATTTCATAAATGCTTATGGACAAAGTGTGACCCTCGTGTTTAGGCCTTCCCAAAGCCTTGGTTAGTGGAATTGTTAAATTATTATCCATAGCTATTTTTCAATTTTCATACATGCTCATTTAACGTGTAAATGTTCTGATGATACATTTGGTATTCCCGGTGAGACCATAATTCGTTGGCTAGTGAAAAGATCCCGTTGAATCATTCTACAATGATTCAGGATTCAAAACTACTATGAATCGTGTCGAGTTCTGTGATGAAACTCAGGGTCAAAACACTATATTCAACCGCTTCAAAAGTTGTCATGTAATCTACCTCTGTATCTTGACAATATGATTGAGACCCGTAGCTTTTCTAGCTCAAGGATCTGTCATCCTAATAACTTATACAATCCTCTTAACGGCTTAATCAACATCGATGATGCCTTGGATCGGAAGCTAGCTTTAGTGCAATCTCGTACTCTAACCTCATCTTCCATACACAATATCTCAAAGATATACTTTGTTCTTCATAAGAACTCAATGATGCTATTTTAACCCCATTCAGTATGTGTAGTACATATGATTGACGATCCAATAGATATCCAATACCTAGTCTAAATGGAACGATTCCAGGCGTTTTCTTAAGTCTTCGAAAGACTTTTCTTTTGGATCACTCACACAATTCCTCATAGTCATAGTAAATTCATTGAGGATTTCGTCTCTACATATGCACTTTGGTTCAATCCTAGCAACCTATGAAATCTATCTTTATAAATTCAAATGTCAAGAGCATGATCATCGTCTTCCACGTCCTCCATGGAGAAATTCTTACTCAACCAAGTGCGAGTATGAATATCATTCTCTGTGAGTAATATTCTCGTTAATATTCAAAGCAAAGAAGATTTCAATGCTCCCACTAGTCTTCTACAAGACTTGTCATATACTTAATAAGCTCATAACTGAATATGATTAAATTCACATTTCAGCTCCTTGAGGACTGCTTTAATATATATATATATATATATATATATATATATATATATCACAATATGTCTCAAAATTTAAGCTTGTCTCACGTCTAGGGAGATTTTGACACAAGATTTTATGCTAGAGTCCTAAAGTAGGACACTATAAGGCATAAGCTCATCCATAACTAGTATGATGTTCTTTCCATGAGTCTTGATTAAGAGTAAATATCCTTTTGATCATATCAAAATATATCAATGCTTCCAAAGATTTTCCCTTCAGCTTCATTCAATAGTCTTTCAAATAATTTGAAAACTCTTGATATGTTCTTCCTAAGAATCATATGTCATGTTTATCCAAGAAATTAATAAACATAATGAAGTATGAATACTCGACATTAGCTGTTTTCTGAAGTCCCGTATACATCGATATGTATATCTTTCAATGTAAACTATCAAACTCATCCGCCTTGGTGTCAGAATTTTAGATACTTTAGATACTTAGGACTTGACTATTTCTGTGTAAGAATTAGGAATTCCTCTTCCAACTCGTCCCAGAATGGGCGTTATGGCAAAGAACAAGAAGAATACAAAAGGAGAAATTTGTCCAATAGTAACAAATGGTGCCTCCACAGGTTGACATCCGATCCAACCTAGTAGTAAGCAATCCGCCAAAAGCAACCAAAATATTCCTTGGTGAATCGGGCGAAAACTTGAAGTATGTGTCATTTGATTCAAAATCATATGATCCCATTATCACCGACATATCATATAATAGGAATGCATTTCTCGTTCTTTTAGTCTACACAATTAGGCTAATGCCAAATAAGATCTAAATTGTTTGGTTTGTATCTTTTGGTAAAATTGTTATACATGTGGGTATACTTTCACAATAAAGTATTTAATCATTTGATCATTTTGGCATAAGACATATCATTTCTATAAATGGATCAATGATTTGTCCTTTATTCGAAATAATTTAAAAATCATCAAACATGATATAATGTCTTGCTAAAAATAAAATGAACAATAATCAATTCAATATTCGAAAGCAGATCAAATCATAAAAACTAAAACATGATATGAGAATTGCAACATTTGCGCCCATCGATCAATCATGTCCAGTTCCCCTTGAGCCAACTGACAGTTGTAGTTTTTTGGGTAGTAAACCTTCCCAGTAAAGGGTTAGTTTTCTCTCCGAGTTTCGTATCTCTCGAGGAGTGGACGAAAGGAATTAGTTTAATTACTCTAATTAGGCGAAGGTTAGGATTGGTTTATGAAGGTCTTCTCGGAACGATTATAAGAGGAGCAGAGTAAAAATAATGAATTAAGTTTACATAGTATAAGTATAGATCTAGACCTAGGGTCTGGACATCATTTGGATTTATTTTATCATATTAAATTAACAATTGGAATAATAATATTTCTATTACTACTCATCCATTTCTAGATTTGTACTTAATTTGTTGCACTTGAATATCATAGCCTTTTGGCATACAATATTTTCTCAATAAATGGCCAATTAAATCTTTCGAGTTTAATCAACCAGATAAGGCAAGAACAATAGATTAATCATTCCAACATTAATTTAACATCAAAAAATAAACAATTAAACTAGTCCGGACCAAGAGATCCGGACCCTAACTCATACTATGCAAACATAAATTAAAACAGCATTTTATTAAATAAAGTAAACTTACAACTTCCGTACAAGCGGAACAGAACAGATCGGGAGTAGAATTCCTCCAAAAATTATTCTAAAACTACTAGAACTAATATACAAGCTAAAATGGAGAGGGGATGTGTAAATCCCGAAGTTGGGATGGAATGGGATGATAAAAATGAGAGAGATCGCGCTGTATTTATAGGAACAGAGCCAAGGCGTCCAAGTCAAAGCGTCCATGTCCAAGCGTCCAGATCTGGACGCCTGAGCTGTCCCGGCCAACCAGATTTTGCCACATGTCATTCTTGGGCTGCAATTAAGCCAAAGCGTCCAACTCCCAAGCGTCCAACTTGGCCAAGCGTCCAAGTTGGACGCCTTAGGCCCTGGTCCGTTTGGGCTTCGCGGCTGATGCGAGATCTTGGCCCAATTTTGCTCCGTTTTGGCCCCGAACTCTGTTTTTGACCTCCCGGAAGCTCGTTCAAGCCCGAATCTTGATCCTTTGATGATTGATTCCCTTTTTCTCAAGTATTTGAACATAAAATGGATGATTTATGATAATTTCATGTGGAATCCTTTTTTATGACTCTTAGAACGAAAATGAGAGTTTTATTCATTGAAGTCACATTTTATAAGATGATTAAATACTATTTACGTGCAATAACGTTTAGAATATGATGTAAATGATAAGAACGAAACGGACTTATCAAATTCCTCACACTTAAACGTTGTTTGACAAATTGAATAATTACAAGTATAAAGACAAATCAATAATTGCAGAGGAAAAATTTAAGCTAGATATTATGAAGGGAAGAAGGAATAAGATAGTCATCAATCTTTTTGTTTAAAAAAATGAATCTTTAGATTCTCACCCATATTGTTGGAAATGTAAAAGAATTTTGTCAAGCCAATATTTTTACACCAACCTAAACAACCAAAATTTTCCAAACTTTCCTTGGGATAACTACGTTTATAAGAGTATTTTAAAGATCAAATAATTTTTAATGGCTAAATTGGAAAACATGTTCTTGCAAAAGTATTTGTCCAAGTGTAAGGGTTTAATTTTCCGTAGCATAACTTTGTCATGTTGACCCGAGAAAAATTTATAACCTCATCCCGTGACATAGAACCACGAGCTTTTTGGATATTCACTCCGGAAAGTCTCATCACATGACATAGAACCGCATGCTTTTTGACTCTAACACTGAAAAGGCCTCATCACGCAATATAGAACCACGTGCTTTTCGGCATACTCACTACGCCTCATCAGTTGACCTAGAACCAACTGCTTTTTGGCTAAAACAAGAATCTCGGTCTCACCAAAGTATGCTTTGAAACATCACCCCTTATACTTTGAAAATAACACTCTTTAAGAAACAACTAATACTCATAAGAGCATCAGCAAAAAGATTTTCAATAAAGCACTTAACAATTAATTGATCTAAAAAAAAACTCTTAATAAATTGTGAATTTATCCCAAAACATTTTAGAAAACATTCCCAAAAAGGTCAGAATAGAAATAGAAGTTTGACAACAAATTTAAAAGTTTCTAATTTTTACGGGTGATAACTAAAGATTAATTAATCAAACAATTAAAATTGATGACTATTCTATAAAAATCTTTTCCTAAAAATATGTAGACAAAACAATTCCTAAAAAGATCATTTCAACCAGAAACTCTTACCTCCTCACACGTAAACGGAACCACACCCTCGTGGTTAAAAGTATTTTGGAATTGGAGTTAATGGTTGAAATGCTCACATGCAATTACTAAGTTATCTCAATACTTACAAGATTCAACGATGAAGATTGAAATAATAGATAACCATAACATGTAAATATGAAATAATGCATAAAATATTCTCAAAATGGTTTTAAGAGTCATGTTGTGAAATTCCAAAATAAAAATCATCGACTATCGAAATCATGTTCAAAATAGTAGAGAAAAAGAGAATTTATTGAGGAAGTCAATATTCACTCAGTAGCTACTTTCAACCAGGAATGCTGGATCAAGAAGCCTCGAAGGTTGCAGAAACCTTGTGTTTTCCCCAGGTGAGACCTCTTCTTCGCTCCCACTGTAAGGTATGCCCTACAATTCTCTCATCTGCAAAAGCAAAGACAACAAACAAAATAACTCTTGCCCCCAAAACTGGTGCGGCAAGCAAAACCTCAAAAACTAACAAATAAAACTATTGAATTTATTTAATTATTTTAGTTATTTGAATGATGGGTTGCCTCCCGTTAAGCGCTTCTTTAACGTTCGTAGCTCGACGCTCACCCACTTTTTCCGCGACTTCCCGATCCGAGAGTCATAAAGTTTGGCCCTTCTGACTCTCTTCTGGTGCCACCTTGTTTGATTTGTTGCTCGGTCAAGGTCCAGGATCCTTGACTCATCCCTGTGGCTTGGTGGCAACAGAATATATGGAGGAGACTTTGTATAGGTGGGTGGTGGCGGAAGTCTCCTCAGTTGATCCACATCATTGGCCTTCATAGCGAGATTGATTTCTTCCTTATCTTCAACAGGCTGACCATCCATTTGTGGTTTGATGATTACGACCGTGCTTTCTCCCATGGATGAGTCTTCAGTGTCACTTACCAGAAGTTCATCCAAACGCTTTTGGCTCGAACTATCCTTCAGGCAGACAAAGTCACACCCGTCAAGTAGGGAGTCAAAGAAAGTTTGGTCTAAGTCTTCTGATGAAGCTTGATTATCTATAGACATTATTGGGTCCTCTGTGTTAGGATTTTCTTTGTCTATAGATTCCTCCTCAGACTCTTGAACGTTGGAATCTTGGGGGTAGGTAGTGGGCTTTATCTCCTCCAGAACAGGTTCCTCTGGAGGTGTGTCTTCAACACAATTAAGGAGATGGTCGTTTATTGCCATAGGCAAAACTTCCTCCTCCTTCTTTTCTTGAATACGCATAGGTGGTTCTGAGTCAGGTTCCTCAGTTGGTTCCACCTCATGTACGACTGTGCTGGTTGAGACTTGGCTTGGAGGACATTCAGGTAATATTACCACAGTAGCCCTAGCGAGAGTTGTTATGCTCTCGGGTTTATGTGATAATGTAGAACTGGGTGAATCTTCTAGAACTGGGACCTGATGATTGAATGGTTCAAGGTTGGTCTTAGGTTCTAAAGCCTCTTTTTGAGCATTAACTTCCTCCAATTGTGGATCTTGAGGTTGGAGCGATCGTTTAAGCTCAATAGCCTTACAGAGATCATTGACTAACTTGTCAGCTTTAGCCTCAGCTTCTAGTCTCTCTCTTTGAAAGTCGTCCAACATTTTCTGCATCATATCTGATCCTTCGCATAATCTCCGTTCGAACTCATTTTCCTTCTGGACTGATTCGAGAAGTTTTGCTCGTTCTCGAATTGCCACCTTGTTTGCTTCAATTTGTTCTTCCGCAGACAGGGTGTAGTCTCGGCAGTAAGGTGGTTCGTACCAGGAGCCTTCAGTGAATAAAACTTCGTCGAAATAGAAGATTTTCTGTTCTAATCTTATGATCTCTTCGACGAGAGGATCAGATTGATCGTCGCACATAGGCCCAGATTGGTCATAGTCATCTTGGTCACCATGAGGTTCATAATAATTATCCCCGTTAGTGTCTTGGTATGGAGAATACCCAAAATTTCTAGACAGGGTATCATATGGTGGTTCCTCATAGTAGGGAAAGTAGTTAGACCTATTGTTGACTTGGTAGGCATTATCATAGGGGTACTGATGTGGGTAGTAAGGTGGATGGGTTTGAAACGGAGGGGGGTTAGGTGATTGGTAGAAAGAAGGTGGACCGTAATAACCACTGGAGTTATCCATAATAATTATTACGGGTGGTTGGTGAAAAGAAGTGAGAAGATCGTTCTAACCAATATTCACCCAAGCTAATTAAAATAAATTAAACTAATGTCGTGCCACTCCCCGGCAACAGCGCCATTTGACAGTTATAGTTTTTCGGGTAGTAAACCTTCCCAGTAAAGGGTTAGTTTTCTCTCCGAGTGTCGTATCTCTCGAGGAGTGGACGAAAGGAATTAGTTTAATTACTCTAATTAGGCGAAGGTTAGGATTGGTTTATGAAAGTCTTCTCGGAACGATTATAAGAGGAGCAGAGTAAAAATATTGAATTAAGTTTACATAGTATAAGTATAGATCTGGACCTTGGGTCTGGACATCATTTGGATTTATTTTATCATATTAAATTAACAATTGGAATAATAATATTTCTATTACTACTCATCCATTTCTAGATTTGTACTTAATCTGTTGCACTTGAATATCATAGCCTTTTGGCATACAATATTTTCTCAATAAATGGCCAATTAAATCTTTCGAGTTTAATTAACCAGATAAGGCAAGAACAATAGATTAACCATTCCAACATTAATTTAACATCAAAAAATAAACAATTAAACTAGTCCGGACCCAGAGATTCGGACCCTAACTCATACTATGCAAACATAAATTAAAACATCATTTTATTAAATAAAGTAAACTTACAACTTCCGTACAAGCGGAACAGAACAGATCGGGAGTAGAATTCCTCCAAAAATTATTCTAAAACTACTAGAACTAATATACAAGCTAAAATGGAGAGGGGATGTGTAAATCCCGAAGTTGGGATGGAATGGGATGATAAAAATGAGAGAGATCGCGCTGTATTTATAGGAACGGAGCCAAGGCGTCGAAGTCAAAGCGTCCTAGTCCAAGCGTCCAGATCTGGACGCCTGAGCTGTCCCGGCCAACCAGATTTTGCCACGTGTCATTCTTGGGCTGCAATTAAGCCAAAGCGTCCAACTCCCAAGCGTCCAACTTGGCCAAGCGTCCAAGTTGGATGCCTTAGGCCCTGGTCAGTTTGGGCTTCGCGGCTGATGCGAGATCTTGGCCCAATTTTGCTCCGTTTTGGCCCCGAACACTATTTTTGACCTCCCGGAAGCTCGTTCAAGCCCGAATCTTGATCCTTTGATGATTGATTCCTTTTTTCTCAAGTATTTGAACATAAAATGGATGATTTATGATAATTTCATGTGGAATCCTTTTTTATGACTCTTAGAACGAAAATGAGAGTTTTATTCATTGAAATCACATTTTATAAGATGATTAAATACTATTTACGTGCAATAACGTTTAGAATATGATGTAAATGATAAGAACGAAACGGACTTATCACCAACCATATACTTTTCTTCAGTCCCTAAAACAATTTGCATTTGTAAGTATCAAATACCTACAAATTAAAGGGTTGTAGATTTGCTATGCTCAAATAACAATTGTACTTGAAGCAGAGGTGTCACCCTCCTCCTCCTTCTTGGAAGCCAGGTAATCCTTACAATAACTCCTCAAGTGGCCTTGCTTGCCACAATGATGACATATGGAGTCTTTCGCTACTCCACCTTTAGGCTTAAGGTTAAAAGAAGTGGATTCTGGCTTGGTTTTACCTTTGTCTTTGTTTCCAAACTTCTTAAATTTCTTCTTCTTACCCTTTCTGCCTTGAACAAGAAGGACGGAACTACTTTTTCCCTTTGTAAGGCCCTCTTCAGCAATTTGTAACATCTTTAAGAGTTTGGGCAGGATTTTATCAAACTCATGCATCTCATAATTAATGATAAACTGCTTATACATTCCTAGCAACAATTGCAGAATGAGATCCGTTTCAAGTTTTTTTTCTTAGTGAGAAACCCAACTTCTCAAGAGTCTTGACATAGCTGATCATCTTGAGAACATGCGGACCGATAGAATTTCCAATGCACAATTTATAATTGAAGAGTGCCTTAGAGATTGGGAATCTCTCATGCCTAGCTTGCCCTTGGTAGTGCTGCCTCAGGTGTAGGATCATATCGTACGCCTTCATGTTGTCATGATGCTTCTGAAGCTCAGACGTCATAGTAGCTAGCATGAGACACACCACTTCAATGTCATCATCAATGTGCTTGTCATATGTTTCTTTGACTGCTCTAGAAGCAGTGGCAGCAAGTTGAGGAGGAATGACATCTTCAACTACATACTCTCTCTTCTCAAGACGAAGAACAATAGTGAGATTGTGTTGCCAGTCTAAGAAGTTGGACCCGGTCAACTTTTATTTGTCTAGGATTGAACGCAAGGTGAGGTTGTGATTGTTACTGATCATCTACAGATGATTTGCAAAATAGTTATTATCAAGAATTAAGTAATTAATTAGAACTTTATTAAAAAACTCTTCCACTACTTTAAACAAACAAACCACTCTCTAGTCTATAACTTGTTGATTCGAGGTTTCTTCGTGAGAAAAATACCTTAGTGGGCCAAGGTCCATATTACATTCTACTATAGTTGTGCTTTGCATCTTGCTCTATAGTTAAACTAATTAGGTAGGAACAATTTGCAATTGTAATCACTATTACAACTCTTGGTTTGCTAGGTTATTTTAAATAAAATTTTATTAAGGGCCTAGATCCTTATTTCATCTAACTATAGTTGAGCTTTGCATCTTGCCCTATAGTTAAACTATTTTAGGTAGGAACTATTTCCAATTGTGACACTTTGCAACTCTAGTTGGATAAACTAATTTTATCTATTAACCTAACGGTGTGCCTCTAAGTCATTCATCCTTTTACCATGACTTAGTTAAGTCCAACCCGAGGTCTGTCAATATCCATTGTTACAGATTTCGCGCCTCACCAACGTAAATCAGGCATCCCGCTTTGGCGTGTCCGTTACTGATCTTGATTGGCTTTGACGAGTGAGCAGGCACCGGAAGCACATACTTAATATAACGAGGGATTTAAACGTGGTCTCACCTATGACATGTGCCACGCGCATGCCCTAGCGTATACATACATTCATACATAACATGCTTATATATAAATGAATAAATGTGATATAGTTGTGGCTCCGAAAGAAAAACTAACAATAACGTCATTTCTTAAGGTCTCTATCTCCGGCCCATCATTTTCTTTCTCTTTAGTGATTTTTTCTTTATAAACGCTCTCCGGACATGCCTATCTTTTCTTGAATATAACGATTACATTTTCAAAGAATAGAATCCTTGCGTTATATGCAAGGGGTATGAGGTTCAAGAGAGAGATTTACATTCATAAATAAAGAGATAAGGCACGACACACATGCCGTATTTCAAAGTAATAATAATATTAAGCCACAACCATACACCATGTATAACAGCTATACACCACATGTAAACAGTTAAGCGAATACCGGGTGAACCGCGTTAGCCTTAGACCTCGTTTATTTTAGGAGAAAATAAACTATAATTCTCAAAAAATAATTAAACTATCAAATAATTTAATTAAAAATATTTTAAAACTCCAAAATATTCAAAAAAATCATTTTTTAATTTCAATAAATTTAAAATAATATACTATTGTAAATATATGTATTAATTTCGAAATTGGGTTTTAATTTGAAATAAATACTTATACCATTCAAAAATTAATAAACAAATTCCAGAATATATTTTTTGATTTTTTTTAATCTGAAAATAGAATTTACAAAATTAATAAAATTTTATTTTCGGATTTATACAATTAAAGGCGTAGAGACATTAATTAGTTTCCAAAATTATTTCTGAATATTCCCAATATAAAAAAATAAAAATTTTTCAAAGATAGAGATTTTGTCTCATACCTTATCTGATAACAAAATTTCCAGATTTTATAAAATATTATTTTGAATTTATAAAATTTAATTGGTAGAAAACAAAATTAATTTCTAAAAATTAATTCGGGATATTTAAAAATTCCAAGAATAATTATTTTCAAAACCAAATGAATTTGTCTCCTACTTGATCATGGAAATCGAATTTCCAAATTTTTATAAATTTTATTTTCAAAATTTTCATACTTATCCTTTTAGGAATTGAATTAATTTCCAATATTAATTCTAAATATTCAAAGTATTACGAAAACCAATATTTATCAAAACTATGGACTTATTGTCCTACAAGAACATGGAAACCGAATTTCCATCTTGGTATATTTTATTTTCTTAAATATATCAATTATTATACAAGGAAACTGAAAATAATTTCAATAAATTATTTTCGTAAATCCAAATATCCAACTATCTACATTTCCGAAATATATTAATTTAACTTTCAATTTAATAATTTTTCAGAAAATAAAATATTATATTTATATTTAATTAATAATTAACACAGTAATTATAGGATTACCGAAATTGAATTATTAATAAATACAAAATAATTATTTTGATGTCAGAATATATTCCAAATTAATTTAATACTATCTGAAAATCATATTCTTAAATTTAAAAAATTATATATTCGGACTTTAAATCTTATTTCTAATTAATCACTATTAATTAGGAATTAGATCTAATCAAATCCAAAAAATAGAAAATAGATCCAAAAATTTATTTTAATTTTCCTGAATGCTTAAAAACGTATTTTAGTATTACAGAATAATTAAATTATTTTTCCATATTTATCTTGTATTTATTTTGTGATTAATCAAATTAACTACACAATCAGATCAATACTCAAAATAAGGAATTTAATTTAGAAAATTTTATTTTATGTTTCCATAATGATTAAAATCATATTTTAACATTACAGAATCATTAAAATTATTTTTCTTATTTATTAAGTTTTTATTTTGTATTTTAACCAATTAAACTACAAAACTATACTTAATAGAATAAATAGATAACTAATCCAAAACTAATTCCAAAAATCATATTTCTGAGTTATATAAAGTCCAAAATCATATATTGACACTTTATATTATTTTGGATGATTTTAGAAATTCATACATATCTGGATCAAATTTACTAATTATCGAAAACCTTAACGAAAACAAATCTACAAACTTTATAATTTTGTAAGCCGGCTCTGCTACCACTTTTGGGTAACCACGCATGAATAGCACAGCAGAAATTTTTTTTTATATCCAATCGTCGTTACCATCCAAGATCATCTTACGAA